CAAATTTTTGGGACTTTTGGTGAGAAAAAATTTGTCACTAATTATAAAAGTATTTGTGAGGAATATATTTTTGTCACGAAAACGTTTTAATATTTTTGATATCTTTTGGTGAGGAAATAATATTGTCACCAATTTTGGTAGAAAATTTTTGATATATTGAACGGCAATAAAAAAAAAATAGGGTATTAATTTTTTTTTATCCCTTTTCTGTTTATCATCTCTATCTCTCTCTCTCTGAAAACAGGATATTAATTTGTCTTACCTCTTGCTCCTCCACCACGCCGATCGCCATCGTTGCATCTATTAGCCTTGCCGATCGTCGTCGCCACTAGTAGCCTTGCCGGTAACCACCACATCTTCTTCGCTCGGTGATTTGGTAGGTGATTTCTCTTTACTCTTTTTCTGGTGTCTCTTTCTCTTATTCTTTGTATTGGTATGGTGACTATGGAAGTTCAACTAATCTAAATAAAATAATTCTTTTATTTAATTTATAATCATTGTTAATAAAATGTACAGTGATATATTGATATTCTAAACCATTATTTGACCACAGATCAAATGTTAAACAAACTCTTCCATTCAAATTTTTGAATATGTCATATAATTCATTTTTAATATCCTCAAATTTCTTTAAAATCTTGTTTTTAAAAGTATTTTTTTTTTTTTTTTGAAAACTTTGATTTTAAATATTTTAAAACCATTTGGTGAGAAAAATATTTTCCTCACTAATAATTTTTAATATTTTTAGGCCTTTTAGTGAGAAAATTGTTTTGTCGCTAATTTTGAAAGAAGAATTTTGACATATTAAGCAGGATAAAAAAAAAAAAAAAATCTATTATTTTTCCCTCCCTTCTTTTTCTTTTTCGTTTCTTTTTTTTTTATTATTTTTTTTATCAGTTTATTTTTCCCTCCTTTTTTTTCATTTTTTTTTATCAGTCTTCGTATCAGTCTGTATCTCTATCTGCCTCTCCCTCTCAAAACAAAACAGAATCAGTTTTCCTATCAATCTCTATTTCTATCTCTCCCTCTCTCCCTCTCCCTCTCCCTCTCTAAACACAAGTGCTGTGTGTTCTTCTCCGGCGCCCCTTCAGTGTGTTCTCCTCCAGCGCCGCTGCCAACGTCCCTGTTCTCCTCCTTCAGTGTCGCCACAGACGTCTGTGTGTTCTCTTCCATCAGGTATGGGTCCTCTTTCTCTCTCCCTCTCTTTCACTTAATTTCTCTATTTTTTAATCTCTGTTTTCCCTAATTTTCAAAATTAATGTTTTCCCTAATTTTTGAAATTAATTTTCAGAATTAATGCTGTAGTTTATTTTTTCCAGCAAGGTTTGTCTTCAATAAATTGTGAATGTGTAAATTTTAAACTTGGCCATCCTTAATGTGTTTTGCTTGTTTCTGCTATAAACTTGAGAATGAATGTCCTATTGATTATAATTAACAGTTTGAATTTAGTAAAAGCCCTTGACTAAATGTGAATATTTTATATGATTTGGATTGTTTTTCTGTATTTTTAATAAAATTAGGGTTCAACTCCTCTCTGTATTTGAATGTTTGTTCAATATCTGTTTATTTTATAGGTTTTTCTACTTAGGTTATTCATAAAAAAATAAAATTGATTACTTACGTCATGATATTGATCAATGTATTAGGATATAATGTATTATTTCCGACATTCTCTTTCATCAATGTATTAGGATATAATTTAGAACCTAAATTTTAGGTGAAGTCATTCAATACTTTTGGCACAATAGTAACTTTTAGGGCATTGTCTCAATAGTATTAGAAGTCACAAAATTTATAATTTTTGAGACAAAGTTCAAAAAGTACACAATAATTTTTCAAAATTTCAGGATTAAGGAAAATTGTGAAGGGATGAGGTGATTAATGAGTACAAGTATTGAAAGGAACTGCATGAGAGAGGTACACTTAGATCATCTTGTCATAAGACTGTTTTATGGCATGTCATTGTTGTCTAGCAACACTTGGCATTTTTCTCAAGTCACAATCATTACTATTTTGTTGTCATTCTTTTCCAATTGTTGAGTTCCTTTTGGATGAAATTTGTTTGTTTTCTTTCTCAAAATAGACTATAATACATTGAAACTAATAAAGGTTAAAGCAGTGATAATTGACGTTTAGTAGCTGGCACATTTGATTGTCCTACATGTCACTTAATTATTAAATATATATATTATACAAACTAATAGAGTTTATAATTATTTTTATTCATAGATGTAATATAGTTTATATCACTATAAACTTCTCTATACGTGCGGGGTTTCTTTTTTCAAACCACATACCATACGGGACAGATTAAGTTGCAACTAATTACAGCAACAGTGAATGCCCCAAAACTGAGGGATACACAAGGAATTCATCTGTTGTACAAGGTTGTTGCTGTAAATGACACTTTGCACTTTCATGTCAAATTGGTCGGCTATACAAGAATAGGGCTATCCTATGACTTACATTCCATCACATTCAGGATGCGACTGGAATAACTTTGGGATAATGTTTGATTCAGTTAAATGAAACAGAAGTCATTTCTTAATCTTGCTATGAAATAATCATTATCTTATAATGGTAAATGACACTTCCATTTACAAAAACAAAAAGAAATTAAATGAACTAATCGTGAGAATTTGATGAAAATCTTATTATTTTAGCAATTGTTGTGCAGTGGTGATATCAGGAACCATGGATATTAAGCTCCATGTCTATGTTCAAATCCCCCTTAAACAATAAGCACAAAATATTTCTTCAATTTGAATCTACAGGTTATTATCAATCATGTATCGCATAGAGAGAGGTAATTCTCTACATAATGCATAAATGTGAGAAAACATTCACAACAATGTGAACATTTTGGGTCACATTCCCGTTCTGTAAAATTCTTCCTGTGCACCTAGCATAACTGAAAAGAAAATGTTGCAAGATCTAATCATCAGGCAAGAGAATCTACACTCAGCCCACTTTCTTTGTCTATAAGTTCTGTATGAAGAACATCTGTGTAACACGTAGACTTGTCATTTTCATACAATTCCTTCTCAGAGCATCCAAATTATTATCAAATTGCCCTAGTAATCCATCGTTGAGGAACCTGCTGAGGATAAAATGTGAGAGCATAGGGGATTCTCTAAAGCATCTTATGACAAGCAAAGCAATACTAACATCTTGTCTAAAGACCCATTTTCCCATTCCCTCGTCTGTACCCATTCCATGATTTATATGTTTCTTTAGGATAAGTTTGAGAGATTCATTTCAGTTTGAATGCAGAGCTTTCTCCAGTCTTTATCTCTGCTCATTTTCTTCTTGCTCTTCCTCTGTCTCCTCTTTTTTCTTTTTTCTTTTTTCTTTTTTTGCCGTTGAAGTGAAATGATGTTGTTTTGAACTACTCCACGGAAATTGCGGAGTGTGGACTCTAGAGGATCTGAACATGTTCTACACAACTAATAAGAACCGAATTCTGCAGCCACAATGTTATTAGCTCAAGTTAGGTACTTCTCATGATATTATTTGAGGTGCGCGTAAACTAGTCTGAACATTGGTCATAAAATATATATATATATATATAATCGCTTTATTAGGTGATAATGCTAGGCTAGCACTGTAAATGATGTACTGTTTATTTGTCAATACTTTGGATTGTGTTAGAACATTTTCACAAGAAAATAAAGAAGAAAGAAAGAAAGAAAAAAAAAAAGGAGGGGGGGAGGGGAGTATATCAACTACAATATATTAGCGATAATTGAACCTTTATTGCTGTGTGCTTCAAGTTCCAACCATATAAGAACCCATGAATACATGTGAGCTGCACATGGATTTAGTTTGTTAATCTCTGCTTCGGTTAAGCATGTTCATAGCCCATCTTCCACTAGGTAATCCATGTCCATGGCACTGCTAGTTCAAGCTGCTTGTTTGCTGCTGCCCATTTGCCTTGATTTCCTGGATGTGCTAACTGCTAGGTGTAGGAAATTAGGTCTTTAGTTGGTCCTTCTACTTATTTTTGGATGTCCTGTCTTTGGTGGGGCTGCTTGGCTGCTGCTATGGTTAGTTTGGCCTGGTGCTATGAATAAATAACTAGCGGAAACAACCTGTTTAAACTTGTTTAAAATAAAGACATAATAAGAAGGAAACTAACTGCCTTGGTAAGTTGTTATCAGTTTATCATATATTTATCTTTTCCCACCTTTTAAAAATAGCTCAAAGCAGTAATATAGTACTTAATATTTTTTTTAAATTGCAGTCAACTTTTCCTTTTCTGTTGTGACATGCCCAAGAACTCATTCTATGATATGACAAGAACAGTTCTGTTTCTTTTACAAAATCCAATCTTAATTCTTGCTTCATGATATCTACATTTGTGGAATTTGTATTCAGCTTCGATTCTGGAAAGGAAATTTTTTTTATTTTGTTCTTATTATAAATTCTGTTATTGATTTTTTTTTAAAAAAGGAAAATGAAAAAAGAAGATGATTGGAGAAAAGGAGAAAGGATAAGGCTGACATTATTTTATCTGAAAATATGGCTTTACAAAGAGCTAAATGGGGAAGTAAAGTACTCATGTAACCATCCTAATTATTGGGTTGAAGTTTGGTTTGTTGAACCACTACATTAACGTAGTCCTGAATATGGATCTCGTGTGTATAGTCCATTAAACTTTAGAAACTCAATGTGGCATATTGTGGGTTTTCTTTCTGTGTCATGTTATCTGCTTTTTACTCTCAGCTCACTGCTTTATTGGTTAAATTTTCTCTGAATTATGATATTTGTCTTCTTATTGATGGTTATTTTGTTGTGGTTTATGTTTTGGTTATGAATACTTCTTCTCTTTACGCTAAATTGCTTTGGCTATTTTCTCACTTGATTTATGTGTGGTTGTAATTTATATAACTCAGTATAATCATTGGACTTGAACTTTTTTTTAATTAAAGTATATATATATTTTTCTATATAAAATTTGTCCTATTCACCTAACTTTAATTAACTCGGCATAGTCAGACATGGACAAGAGTTGGATTGCATTAGGTAGCACAGTTGATGGAAGGATAAGTCTGGCATATTATGATAGGGTAATATCATTTCTTCGTTTTGCAATGGCGGTTATCGATCGAGATGGTAAAATTTTGTGCCCTTGTCGAAAGTGTGTGAATGTTGTTCGTCATAATTTTCAAATTGTTCAAATTCATTTGCTGCAACATGGGATTATTTCAACTTACACTATCTGGCACGTGCATGGGGAACCCCGTGAATCAAATGAGGCTCATCATCATGATATACCCGTTAAGGGCAATGAGGTTTTGGGAGGTATTGATGCCTTAGTGGAAGATCGAATAAGAGGGCAATCAACTAATACAACCCAGGAGGAGGAGGTTCGCACTTTTGATAAATTGTTGAATGATGCCAAACGTGAGGTGTACCCAGGTTGCACAAATTACACTTTGTTACAGTTTGTCATCGAGATACTTAATATGAAGGTAACAAACCATTGGAGTAATAAGTCAGTTGACATGATGCTAGAGTTTTTAACAAAACTTTTACCGAAGGATAATTTGGTTCCAAAGTCAACTTATGAAGCTAAAAAAATACTACGTGAATTGGGTTTGTCATACGAGCTCATTGATGCTTGTGTAAATGACTGTGTGCTATTTTGGAAGGCGAATGCAACATTAGATAAATGCCCAAATTGTAATGCTTCTAGATACAAGACAAATCATGGTAGAGGTAAGAAAATCTCTCATAAGGTCCTTCGATACTTCCCGTTAACAACGAGATTGAAAAGGTTGTACATGTCGAGAAAGAGAGCCGAGGATATGAAATAGTTCAATGAAAAACGTCTAGATAACGGTGTATTGAGGCATCCTACAGATAGTGATGAGTGGAAGGAATTTGATTCACAACATCCTGAATTCACCTTGGAGCCTCGGAATGTGAGGCTAGGGTTGGCTACTGATGGGTTCAACCCTTTTGGAAATATGAATAACTCATATAGTTTGTGGCATATTGTACTCATTCCGTACAACTTGCCACCGTGGTTGGCTATGAATGATCCATTTTTCATGCTGTCATTACTTATTCCTGGTGAATCACAACCAGGAATTGATATTGATGTCTACATGAGACCTTTGGTGGATGAATTGAATGAATTATGGAAAAATGGTACATTAACCTATGATGCCTCGACTGGTGAGACTTTCTGCATGCGTGCAGCTTTGATGTGGACGATACATGATTGGCCCGCATTTGGTGACATGTCTGGATGGAGAACAAAGGGTCATTACTCTTGTTACACTTGCAATGACGAACCGTATTTTGAATCTTTAAGAAATAAGACTGCGTACAGTAACCATTGATGCTACTTGCCTGATGACCACCCAAAAAGGCGAAAGAGTAGAGCATATAATGGCGAGCATGAAAAATGGAAGAGATCTTTGGTGATACCGATAGAAAAGATTGAAGAACAATTGGCCAGCGTGACAGGTGTCACATATGGAAAACATCCAAGCAATAGGAAAAGACCTCGTCAGAACCCAAATTGGACGAAGGTAAGCATCTTGTATGAGCTACCGTATTGGAAGAAAAAGAGGCTTCGACACAACATTGATGTCATGCACGTGGAGAAGAACTTTAGTGAAAATGTTGTTGGAACTATGTTGGGAATTGATGGGAAGAACAAGGATACAGATAAGGCACGAATGGATTTAGAAGATATGAATATAAGGAAAGAATTGTGGCTAACGAAAAATCCCGATGGATCGTATGTCAAACCTTGAGCCAGCTTCTCACTGACCCCTAAAGAGAGAGGGTTTCTTTGAATTCTTAAAATCAGTCAAGTATCCAGATGGGTACGCGGCAAACATTTCGAGATCAGTGAATGCAAAAAATGGTAGATTAATAGGATTGAAAAGCCACGACTGCCATGTACTGATACAACGAATTCTTCTTATTGGGATGCGTGGTTACGTAGATAAAGAGATCAGTACAGCACTTTTTGAGTTATATAGCTTTTTCCAAGATCTATGCTCAAGGACACTCAAACGAAGTGAAATGGAGAAATTAGAGGAACACATGGTACTCATACTATGTAAGTTTGAAAAGATCTTTCCTCCAGCCTTCTTCGATGTGATGGTTCATTTGGCCATTCACTTGCCACGTGAGACTATTCTCGGAGGACCTGTGCAATATCGGTGGATGTACCCGATTGAAAGGTAATTTCTAAAATTGTAGTTTCAAATGAAAGGTGTAGATTATGTTGCGTGCCTAACCAATATCCTAATTGGTTATCTCTTCAAGGATTCTCGAAGCTTTAAAAAAGTTTGTCAACAACCGAGCTCGACCAAAAGGTTCTATTGCAGAGGCTTACATTGTCAGGGAGTGCATTACTTTTTTCTCAATGTATCTTGAAAGGATTGAAACTGTGCAAAATCGAGATGCACGAAATGAAGATTATGGAGTCCGGCGTCAAGGTTTGACAATATGCACTGAAACTGCTCGTCCTATTGGCCAAATCAGAAATCATGTTGAGATGTCACAGGAACTTCGTGATATTGCTCATTGGTTCTTATTATACAATAGCCCTGAGATAGAGAAGTATCTTCAGTACGTGTTTCTTATAATTATATATATTTTAACAATTATCATGTTATTAGTCATTAATAATAGTAGTATTTCACTCATTAACCAAAACTATTTGAGTAGGGAACACAAGAATTTGTTACAAATTTCCACTGGACAAGATATAACTCAGATACAACAGAAGGAATTTCCGAAGTGGTTCAAAGAATATGTAAGTCATTTTCAATATTCACAATTGCCCAAACACTATTAGGCTTGTATAAAATACAAACATTACTAACATAATTCTAGTGTTGCACATTGCATGTGGATGTAGATAAATAGATTGAGAGTTGATGAAGCACCAGAAGCAACCGAAGAATTGTGGTCATTAGCGAATGGTCCTAATTTTCTAGTGAAAAAGTACTCGGGTTGTATAATCAATGGTGTACGATTCCATACGAAGGAATTAGACAATCGTCGTAAGAGTCAAAATAGTGGTGTGCTTACCAAAGGGGACTACAAGGGAGAGATGCACGAATTCTACGGTCACTTGTGCAATATTTGGGAATTTGAGTACATGTAGAGTTGATGAGGCACCAGAAGCAACTGAAGAATTGTGGTCATTAGCGAATGGTCCTAATTTGCTAGTGAAAGAGTACTCGGGTTGTATAATCAATGGTGTACGATTCCATACGAAGGAATTAGACAATCGTCGTAAGAGTCAAAATAGTGCTGTGCTTACCAAAGGGGACTACAAGGGAGAGATGCACGAATTCTATGGTCACTTGTGCAATATTTGGGAATTTGAGTACATGTGTCAAAATAAAGTTGTTTTGTTTCAATGTGAATGGTACAACACCGGTAACACTGGTAGAAGTAGAACAGTACGAGCTGACACATATTGCACAAGCATCGATGTCACAAGCCGATGGTATCAATCTGACCCTTTTATCTTGCCTAGTCAAGCTAAACTAGTGTTCTACCTAAATGACACCAAATGGGGGCAACCTTGGCAAGTCGTGCAACAGGTCCAACATAGGGGCGTGTTTGATGTACCAGAGGTTGGTAATGGAGAACCACCGGATCAACCAGAATTTAATGATGCATTCCAACAAGAATACATTAACTCAGTTGTCCCGATCAAAATTGAAGATATTATTCGATGTCATAGGGATGATATTGAAGCTGAGGTTATTCCGAATAAGACAAAGAGAGATGGTAGAGATGACGAAGAAGATGAAGAACTTGGCATACTTGATGATGATATGGATCCTGATATGGAACTTGATATGGACTATGATATTTAGTTTTTGTTTTTTTATTGGTTTCTATATGGACATATGGTTTTAATGCATTACATAGTTATGCTATATTTTGTTGTGTCTCTTCAAGTAAATATCCTGCTTTATATTTTATGTTTTATATCAATTTATGCTTTTTAGTTATCAAAATGGCCAAAGGGGAGAAACAATGGCTCAAACCAGGTTTTCTAGCGAAACAAAAGCGAACACAGTACGAAATGGAAAGAAATAAGACAATCAAGAAGAATAAAAAGAAAATGGATGCTCTACAATTGAACCGTTTAGCAGCTTCTTTGATGGGTTCTACTCAGCCCAATCGTGTTAATCAGAAGAGAAAGAACATTAGGGTTGAGGTAGATGATGACGACTACATACCGTCAGATCATGAAGATGACACTGATGATGCTGAGTCCTTTGAAAGTGTTGACGATGAGGTACTATATGTATGGCCATTCTTTTTTGTTATCATGTCTCATAGCTATATATTTGTTAATGATGCTTTGTTAATACCATCTTTATATTTCCATATACATATCTTTACTTATCCATTTTTATGTATTTATTGTTTATGCTTTTGTATTATGTTTTTAGGGCTTACCAATGCCACCCAAACGATTGGCGCAGTCATCTCCTCAACCTTCGCACGAGGCAATTGTTGTTCCGAATGGGGATTTACATGACAATGTGGAGACCCAACAGTCACAACCACTTGATGGCGATATAGAGGCACCGAGGGAGGCAGCCCCCCAATCTAGTGTCGGTAAGATGCTGAATTTTACTATTAAAATGAAATCCTCTGTTTTAATATAATTCTATGGTGCAAAAGAACACACTCTAATGAATGTTCTACACCTTGAGTGCCTTTCAGTTAAAGAAAACTTGAGTGCCTTACTGAAAACTGAGTTTTGCTCTAATAAATTGCAGAGAAAGTTTTCAATAAAAAAGTTTTACTGACCTTGAGTGCCTAACAGTTAAAGCATACTCTGTTCTATGAAAACTTTCTTGGTGCAAAATTCCTTTATTACAGAATTTTTTTTTCTGAAATTGAACTTTAAGATGCTGGACTAATGGATTGCATTGTGATAGACTAATTGATGATGGATTGTGCTGGATTGGTGCTGGACTAATGGATTGTGTTGTCACTAGTAGAAAGCACAAACAGCACATACAATAGATTTATACAACCTGCACATTTTTTTTATTCCAGTTCTGGACCTGTGTTGGTATTGTCTTGGGTCTGTTTTGGTCGGACAAGATATATCTGTGATGTTGTGGTCTTCCAATATATTTGTGTTGTTTTGGTCTTGCAATATCTGTTGCCATATATGTGTTGTTTTGGGTCTGTTTTGGTCTTACAATCTATTTTCGTCTTGTTATTAATAACAAAACAAATGCAACAATACTATTACTAATCTAAACCATCAATTCAAGTCAAATATCCATCCATATCTGTTGCAATATATATCTGTTCTGTTTTGGTCATGCAATCTGTGTTGGTCATGCAATCTGTGTTGGTCTTGTTATCAATAACAAAACAAATGCAGCAGCACTACTACTAATCTAAACCATCGATTCAAGTCAAACATCCATCCATATCTGTTGCAATATATCTGTTATGTTTTGGTCTTGCAATCTATTTTGGTTTTGATATCAATAACAAAACAAATGCATCCATCCATATCTGTTGCAAACATCCATCCATTGTGTACAAACCAAACCATCCATTGTTTACAAACCAAAGTGAAATCAGTCTGTCAGCAAAGGTGATGTATTAGGTGAAATCAAGTTCATTATGCACTGTGTTACTGTAATGATGTATGCTTAAACCAGTGATCATTAGGTGTTCTCTGTGTAAACTGTGTTATCATTGCAGTAACACAGTTTACACAAAGTATCCTGTTTTAGCACCTAACTTAGTGTGTAATGAACTTGATTTCACCTAATACATCACCTTTATGCCATTACAGTGACACAGTTTACACAGAGAACAAAGTATCCTGGTTTTGAGTACTTTCTCTTGTTGTCAGACTGAAGAGCTTTGAATCCACACAGCTTAATCTCTAGTTTTGCTTGCTTTTTCTCTCTTGAGGGTTGTGCAAATGTATTTTGTATTGTTATGGCTAGTCTATTCAGTGTTCACAGCCTTTGTTTCCTCATGTGGCGAATGAACATTCCTATGTGGTTTATTTTAGGATGATTCTCTTTGTAGTTTATTTAGTTTAGTTTATTTGTTTGGTTTTGTTTCTCTTGTAAAGCTCTAGTTTTTTTGTTTGGTATTGTAAGGCCGGGGAATACCCCTTGTATATCTCTATATGTTATCATATTATTTTATGACTTATTCAACAACAACAAAATAAAGTTGCTTATATTGCATTTAGGATTTCGCTTTAATTAATTACTAACCAGTCAATGTAATGTCTTTACAATAGTGCGTAGTAGACACCCTCGTGGCTTGACACGCGGGTTTAAGGTTCAAGCAATGGTTGAGAAAAGTGGGGGATCATGCCTCTAAATTAGTCTCCAAAATTGGTGTTGAGGTCCGAACACACTTGCCAGACTTTAGCATTCGCAGGTGGAAACATGTCAACGAAGAAGTTACGGCACCTATGTTTCAGCGTCTAACGGTAAAAGTTTTACATAATTGATTGAATTAATGTAATATAATTAATTATGACTTACAAGATTTGTGGCTATTGCTAGGATCAATTTGACATGGAAGGTGACTCCACAAATGTTAGCAAAGCGGTGGCAACAAAGTGTGGACGGAGCTTGAGCAGCCACACCTACAGACTACGAAAAAAATACCTGAACCTTAAAAGTGCTAAGGGAGAGGAGTATGCTAGAAGCCACCCACCGCCTGAATGTGACCTCGAGAAATGGAAAAACTTGATTGACAAGAAGTGGAATGATACCAATTGGCTGGTAAACTTTTCTTATGTTTATTTATTGTTGACAATTACCTTGTCTTCCTAATATATATATTTTTCTATTGGAACTTCCTCCTTGTAGAAGCAATCAAATGCTAACATTGACAATAGAAATCAAAATGGACCAAAATAAGCACTTTTTCAGAACTGTAAAATGGCCAAAAACAAAAGCATGGTAGGCTGCCATAACATGCAAGAATGGGGAATAAAAGAGAGATATAACATGAAGTGACCTATGGAAGCCCCAAACCATCA